TCTATGCTGTGAAATAGGTACTGCAGTCATGCTAATCATAATTAGCGTGTCCATCAACTCCGGCTGATCACCGAGGTCTGCGGGTCTGGTGAGGACACGTGCAGGCTACCCTGTGAGCAGGATTGAGTCGACACCAGAGCATGGTCAGCTCCAGTCCCGTCGCTGCCCATCAGGTCTCCAGGACTTACTCGCGGCGTCCCTGAAACGTCGTTCCCCGTGACCCGCACCTCCCCGCTTACCCCGGCTCCTGGCCTCTGGTGACCACCTTCTCTCTGTTTCTCAGAGTCTGTTTTAGATTCCACAGGTCAGGGAGCTCCTGCTGCGTTTCCCCGCCTGTCTGCCTTACTTTAAGGCATAATGTCCTCCGGCTTCACCCATGTCATCTCAAAAGGAGGGATTCCCTTTTTTAAAGGCTGACTGAGACTCCATTGTGTGCGTATGGCATTTTCTGTGTGCGTTTATCTCTTGACAGACAGCCAGGTTGTGGCTGCGTCCTGCTACCGGAAACAACGATGCAGAACACGGGTGCAGAGACGTCTGTGAGGTCCTGGCTGCATCTTCTTTGGATACAGACCCAGGAGTGGAATTGCTGGATTGCATGGTAGGTAGTTCTAGATTAGAATTTGAGGAAACTCAACACTGTTTTCCACCGTGGCTGCACCGATTGTGTCCCCAACGACCACGCACAAGGTTCTCTTTTCTCCCAGTTTGGCAGCACGTGTTGTCTTTCTCTCTTTCCTAGCAGTCAGGTGTCTCTAACACGTGCAGTGACATCTCACTGACTCTGATGTGTGCTCCCCTGAGGACTGGTGGATGTTGAGCACCTTCCCATGTCCTGTTTGGTCGTCTGGGCATCGTCTTTTGAGACACACCTGTTCAGGTCCTTTGCGCATTTAAAGACCGGGTGGTTGTTACTTTGCGTTGAGTTGTGTGAGCTCCTTGTGTATTGGAGAAGTAGCCCCTTATCAGANTTAAAGACCGGGTGGTTGTTACTTTGCGTTGAGTTGTGTGAGCTCCTTGTGTATTGGAGAAGTAGCCCCTTATCAGACGTGTGGTTTGCACACGTCTTCTCCGTTGTGTCCATTGCCTTTCCTGTGACCATCTCCTGTGCTGGCAGGAGGTTTTATTTGCCGGACCCCCCGGGTCTGTCTCTGTCTTTGCTGCCATATCCACAGAAGGCTTGTCCACACCCATGTCACGATGCCCCCCCTGTGTTTCCTTCTGGTTCTTTCATGGTTTGAGGCCCTGTGTTTAAGTCTCTGTTGCGTTTTGAGATGATTTCACATGTAGTGAGCTGAGGGTCCAGCTTCCCCCTCCTGCCTGCTGTCATCTCGCTCTTCCAGCACCGTTTCTTGAAGGCACTGTCCGTTCCCGTTCTGATTCTGAGCACCTTGTGGAAGATCAGTTCACTGAGCTGCTTTGGGACAATTGTCTTCCATAATAAGGGAGCTCTCAGATCTCCCGATTTCTTGCAGTCTCTGCGGCCTTGGGCAGAGTCACGGTTCCCAGTTCTCGATGTTTCTGTGGCTCTGCTTTGGTGTCTGTGCGCTGGGAGAAGCAGCCGCCTCCTCTCGGACTTATGGTGGGATTTTGCCCCAGCCCAGTTAGAGATGCTGGAGCCTTGGAGACGTCTTCTGTGGACCCGAGGCTCCCTGGCCCTCCCGTCTGGGGAGATGATGGTGTGCCCCCACCGTGTTGTGCCCCTGCCCTGAGGGAGAAGTCTGAGGACCCCGTCCTCCTCTAACCCCCGAGGCCGAGCTGGCCGCACAGAGCCCCGTCCCTTCTCTTCCTGCGTTGCAGCCCCACGTGTGTCTGCGGCCTGGATCGCTCGTGAGCTGAGCAGCGAGGCGGTCTCTGAGGCCTGAGGTCCGCAGTGCCCTGGAGCCTGGGGATGTGGTGTGGCTTCACCCACTGTCCTCCCGGAGAGGATGGGGCCTGGGCCCAGGGGGCGTCCTCTCAGCGCTGAGCTGTGCTTGCCGAAGGGGAGACCGGGACACAGAACCAGCTCTGTTTATCCTTTCGAAGTGGTTCTTCTTGGTTTTCTGCTCATCCGAGATGTTGCAGCTCACTAGGTGGATTCTGCAGTTTGCATAAAAGTCTTTTGGCCCAAATAATCCCAGTTTATGAGTGTGTCTGTGCGAGATGAGGGCTGGGAGTTCCCGACCTGCCATCTTGCGTAAAGCGCTGATTAAAATTTCTGAAATGTGTCGTAGTGAGGCCAGAAATGGAAAACAGAAAGGATAGTTAACTCGTCTGTGTGCTGCGTCGCTCAGCTGTGTCCGCCTCTCTGCGACCCCGTGGACTGCAGCCCGTCAGCCTCCTCTGTCCACGGGACTCTCCAGGCAGGAATGCTGGAGGGGGTTGCCACGCCCTCCTGCAGGGGACCGTCCCCACCCCGGGACGGAACCCAGGTCTCCTGTGTCTCCTGCACCGGCAGGCGGGTTCCTCACCAGCAGTGCCAGCTGGGACGTCCTGGCAGCCCGCCTGCACACACAGGGAAGGAACGAGAAGAGTAGGCAGGCGTCTGGCGCCGTTTCTGTTGAGCGAAATGCAGTGACGGTAGGCTGCACGCGGGCCTCCCAGGTGGCTCAGGGGTAAAGAATCTGCCTGCCAGCGCAGGAGATGTAGGTTGATCCCTGGGTTGGGAAGATCCCCTGGAGAAGGAAGTGGTAACCACCCTCACTGTTCTTGGTATTGGTATGTTACAGATTCTGTGTCACTTCCTGTGGCCTCTCTGTTCAGGCTGTCTTCGTCTTCTTGACTCAGTTCTGGCAGGCTCGTGTCTCTAGAGACGCCTGCATCCCTTCTAAGTTTGCTGTCAGATTGGTCAACACACAGTGGTTCTTAGTACTCTCTTATAAACTTTTGTATTTCTGAGGTATCAATTTTTAAAAAATCAATTGTTAATTAGATTTGGCTGTGCAGGACTTCCCTGGTGGCTCAGATGGTCAAGAATCTGCCTGCAATGCGAGAAACCTGGGTTCGATCACTGGGTGGGGAAGATCCCCTGGAGGAGGGCAGGGCAACCCACTGCAGTATTCTCACCTGGAGAATCTCACGGACAGAGGAGCCTGGCGGGCTACGTCCATGGGGCCGCAGAGAGCCGGACATGCCTGAGCGAAAGAGGACAGTGCTGGGTCTTCCTGCGGCCCAGGGGCTTTTCCCATGTCGTGCTGAGCTCAGCACAGCTTTTCTCTTCGCTGCGGTGCCTGGGCTCCTCGTTTTGATGGTGTGTCTTGTCGCAGGGCAGGGCTCTGGGCCCGTGGGCTCAGCATTTGCGGCCCGTGTGGGATCTTCTCGCAGCAGGGGTGGAACCCACGTCCCCTGCATTGGCGGCTGGATTCTTACCCACCAAGCCACCAGGGGAACCTGGTAGCAGCTGTTGTTCCTCCTGTTTCATTTCTTATTTTATTTATTTGAGTCCCATGTTGTTGCCTTTTGAATTTGATGTGATGGGCTGGACTCCTACAGTTCTATTTCACTTATTCACCATTATGCTTGAAAACTGATCTGTGTTACTCTAGCAGTCCACCTTTGTGAATTTTTTGTATAAAATTCTGTCGCAGATATATACACCAAACCATTCATTTTGGTGAAAGTGATTTCTGTAACCTTTTCTACTGGGAACAACCCACGTGTCCACATTCTGCTTGCATGCTCGTGGCTCTGCACGCATCTTCCTCTAGGTTATGCAAGCGTGGACCAGCGCTGTGTCTCTGCTTTTCACTGAGAATTGCTGCTGACTCTCCAGGTTGAGGGGGTGATGAGTACACCTGCCCGTGATGTGCGGGATTCGTCAGAGTCAGCCTTGTCTCCTCCATCGTTTTCTCCTCCCCTCTCTCACAGATGAACTAGGAGGTGGGCATCTCATCTCAGGGAACCCGGGGCATGAAACTGAGGTGGAGACCATCCTATGTGACGCGTACTGCAAAGGACACATCTGTGCGCATGGGGCCATCAGTGGGGGCTGGCTGGACCAGACTCGCTCCTCTGGGAAAGCCAGCCTGCTCCTTCCTTCCCACCCGGCCTTCAGCACATTCACCCGGGCTCCTGGAGGTTGGCCACGGAGAGCGTTTGCACCAAAGCAGACACACAGTTCACACGCCTGGGCTCTTTAAGAATTTATTGCCTGATGATTGTGTCTGTGCTGGGTCTGTGTGCACAGGGCTGTGTCTGGTTGTGATGAGCAGGGCTGCTCCCTCGCTGAGGCATCTGGGCATCTGAAGCACTGGCCTCTCTGGCCGCGTGCGGGCTCCAGGACGTGCCGGCCTCAGTCACTGCGGCTCACGGACCCAGTTGCCCCTTGGCACGTGGGATCCCCCAGGATCATGGATTGAACCTGCGTCTCCTGCATTGACTGCCAGATTCTTCACCACCAGGGAAACCCCATATCGGCGCTCTTTACAAAACGATATATTCCTGAGCTCATTTAGCAGCGTAGCCCTGATTGTCACTTCTAGCGCCAGGGATCGCATCGCACTGACAGTGTTTCTGGAGAAACTACACGGGTGTCATCTGATGGGGAGAAGAGGGCTTGAGGTGTCCAGGGGGTTCAGGGAAGATTCTGGATGCATCTGTTCCAGATGGGGCCCCACTTCCACCCATTTATTCAGTTACTTAAACGACGTTCTGTTTCTGAGAAGGGATGGAAGTCATTGCGCACACCAGAGACGGCAGGCCTGAACAATGAGGCTCACGTCGTCCAGGAGAGCGGACAGAGCATGCGGGCCTGCAGGGTGAGGACCCGCCCCTGCCACTGGGATGCGCCTCGGGCCGGGAGTGGGAGGAGCCCGGAGTCGGGGCGTCCTCCCCGGGAGGGAGGGAGGGGGCCCTGTGAGTGGAGGTCGAGCCCCCAGCACCCCCTCCCTGGGACGCCCGGGCCTCCTCCTGCCCCCGCGGCGCGTCTCTCCCCCGGGGTCAGAGGCTCTTTCCGAAGCTCCCGGGCCGGACGCTCGCGTCGGGGGCTGGGGCGCTCCGGAAGGTGCCGAGGGGCCCCATGCTCAGCTCCGGGCCTCATCTCGGGGTCCTCCGCGGTCGTGCCGAGCCTGGCAGAGCAGGACCCCGAGGAGCAGCAGGACCGAGACCGCGAGGCCTATCCGGATGAGATTCTGCACCGTGTAGTCTGGGGTGAGGGCGCACAGGTCAGCGCCGGCACAGGCACCCGCCTCCCGGGAGAGGACGCGGCCCCGAGCCCAGCCCCTGACGGGGACGCTGTCCTCGTCCTCACTCTGGGTCTGACCACGGTGATGGGGGAGGGTGTCGGGGGCCCGAGGGTCCTGAAGGGAGGCTGTGGGTGGGCCGTGTCCTCCTCGGGGAGCCTCCCAGGGACAGGATGGGGTGGGGGCGGGCCTGCCCCTCCCCAGACTGACCCCCCCATCCCGCAGCCTCAGGCCCCTCCAGCCTGTGGCTCCTGCGCCATCTCTGCCTGACTCCCTGCTGGCCCATGACAATCTGAGGGGCCTTGTCCCCCCAGAGAATCTCAGAGCACATTGGGGTGGGTTGTCTCCCGTGAGCACAGAGCCCCGTGACTCCCCAGTTTTTGAATTGGGGCCCGAGGGTGGGGGCTGGGCCCATGGGTCCTGGGAATGAGCCCAGGAAGGGGTGGACCGGGCTGACCCGGGGACCCCACCTCACTCCCCTCTGCCCTGCACGGGCCTGTGGCCTCCCCGAGACCCTCCCGAACCCCAGTGCGTGAGGAAGGGGCGGGGTGCAGGCTCTGAGGCCCCTCCCTCAGGGGGCCCCTCCCTCAGTGCCCCCTCCTCCAGGACCTCCGGGGCCTCCCAGGGCACAGAGCCCCGAGCTGCTGAGTCAGACGGACAGACGGGGCCTCACCTGAGACCAGGAGCGCCAGGGGCTCGCTGGGCCGTGACAGCAGGTAGGGCTCTGTGCCGAGTGCGCAATAGCACCTGTAGGTGCCCCCGTGGGCCGAGCTCACAGGACTCAAGGAGAACTCGGCCTGGAACCGCCCGCCTTGGTCCTGGGCGCGCAGACGCAGGGGGCGATGGGCTGCCCGCTCCTGGGACAGAAGGAAGGTGCCCGTCCAGTCTCCTGACTGACACAGCAGGGTCACGTTCTCCCCCGGGGCCACCGAGGGGCCCGGCCGCGCCGAGAGGGAGGGTCTGTCTCTGAGCAGTCCTGCAGAGAGGAAGGGGGTACGGGCCCGGCCCTGGTTCTGAGCGGGACTCCTCAGGCCTCTCTGGACCCTCAGCGCTGTCTGTTTCTCCAAGTCTCCCCCTCCCCCACCCCGTCTCTCTGTCCCCTCCCTGGGACCCCTCCCCCTGGTCCCAGCATCACCCCTGGGGCTCCCCGGTGGGGCCTGTGCAGAGTCTGGCCCCCGACTGACCCGCTGGCTCCTCTCCTGCCACCAGGAGCTCCAGGGGGTCGCTGGGGGCCGACCACTCGGAGGAGAGGCCGTGTCCACCGTAGCATCTGTACCGGCCCCCGTGGACGGTGCCCACTGGGCCCAGGGGGAAGTCGGCCTGAGAGAGGCCCCCCTGGGCCCTCCGGGCAGGGCGCTGGGGGAGGTCCCGGCCCCCCTCCTTGGCCAGAGCGAATCTGGCGTAGCCCATGTCAGAGCGACACTGAAGGGTCAGGTTCTGTCCAGAGGTGACGACAGGGCCCTGTGGGGTCAGGAGGGACGGCTTCCCAGACAGCCCTGGGGAGAGACAGGTGCCGGGTTGTTGGGACCGCGTCCCCTGTGGACGCCCTTCCCGGCCCGGCCCCAGGCCTCGCCGTCTCTGTCTGTGTGTCTGTCCTCTGAGCACCACGTTCTCTCCCCCCGTCACACGGGCTCCCCTGGGAGCAGAGACCCCAGTACGTTGTCTTGTCTGCACAAATGTGGGGTCAGGTCGGGACTTCCTCACCTGAGACCAGGAGCTCCAGGGGGTTGCTGGGGGCCGACCACACCCGGGGGGTGTCCCTGTTAAAGCCGTAGCATCTGAACGTCCACCCGTGTCCGGGGCTCACGGGGCCCACGGGGAACAGGGCCTGGGTCTGCCCGTCGGGGCTCCGCTGTCCATCCAGTGTCCGAGAGGACTCATTTTCTCCTTCCTTGGTCAGAAGGANAGCTGCCGTCCCCCTCCCCGTGGCCTGGGGGTGACCCTTGTCCCCACAAGAGGAGGGAGCTGGGCCCTGGGGACAGACTCACCAGCCTGCACCTGGGTCCTCAGGCCCACACTCAGCCCTGGAAGAGAGAGCCCTGTGAGAGGTCTGCCCTCAGCTCTGAGCAGCGCCTCTCCTCCCCGGGAGCCTCCTGGGCCCTGGGGTCCCCTGACGGAGCAGGCTGGCTGGGGGGGGGTCCCTACAGACCAGGGCTCCCCCTGCCCCTCCTCATCTCACCGAGGCAGAGCAGGGCGGGGAGGGTGGGGGCCATGGCGTCTTCTCCCTACGGTCCAGGCCGTGAGGATGGAGGAGACCTGGGTGTCCTCCGGACAGACAGAGCACAGGGTGTGTCCTCTCTGGGGCTGGGGCTTCCTGTCACATGGTCATCAGGTCAGCATCCCCGCTGGAAGGGGACTGACCCTCCCTGGAGCCCGGCCCTGGTTTCTGCAGGCTGAGGCTGGAGCGGGCGGTGGGTTATACAGACATTTCTGACCACTTCTGAGGCCTCCCGTGACTCTAAGCTGCGCTAAGTCTCCCTGGTCTGATGGCCTTTCTCCCCCCAAGCATCTGCACCTATTCTCCGGAAACCGAGCAGCTATTTTCGTACATGTCAGTCTCCGAGGCCACCGCACAGAAGATGTAAGAATCCTTTTTTTCAGAAAACAATTTCCACCCGTCATAAACCCAGACGTGTGCTCCAGGCATGGTCCAAATATGCCATCATGTGACAAGAGCCTGATGCCGGGCTCAGGGCTGGACGGTCAGAAGATCAGCGGGTCCTGCCCAAGGTCTGAGCCCCTGCTGGTCTTGCGTGGCTCGTGTTCATCTCGAGTCTCCCGCTTGGGGCTGCCTGTGTGGACGCAGTGAGGTTTCCATCAGTCTCCCGAGCAGAGGCCCGGGGCTCCTCCCCTCCCAGGGGCACTGGGAAAGAGGAGCCAGACGAGAAAGGAGGACCCAGAGTGCTCTGGTCAGATGCAGGCCGTGCACTGGGAGTGAGATAGCAGCCAGGCCGCGCTGGCCTTGTTTCTCCTTGTTGGTGATTGCGGGTGAACTCGGCATGCCCCGGGTTTCCCCAGCGTGAGGCTGTTGCTTGCCCTTGGTGATCAGTCCCTGGTGTGCGGGGAGATATTGTTTCTCTGAGGGTTTGAACATACTGCGGTCCTCATTAAACATTCACTTAATAACTTTAGCAGCTGCTGACCTTGTTCTGTAGCCACATGTTGTCTTCTCCCAGAAGCATCTGTTTGCATGTAAACCGCACTGTTTATAATACCCCCTGCTCTGAAATGCCTGCGGAATACGGCTGATTCTTTTGTTTCTTTTCCCAGAGTACGGAGATGCACCTAGGCTTTCTTACTGCCTTGTGGCTCAGAGGCTCTATGGTGTATCTGCTATTAAAAAAATTTTGTAAAGATTATTTTAATGTGAACTGTTTTAAAAGTCTTTGCTGAATTTGTTGCAATATTGTTTCTTTTTCTGTTTTGGCTTTTTGGCTGGGAGGCATATGTGATCTTAGCTCATATGGCATCCTCAACCAAGGATGGAACCCCCCGCATTGGAAGGCGAAGTCCAACCACTCGACCAGCAGGGAAATCCCTGCGTGGTGTGTTTTAATTTCTGGTTGCGCTCATCCCCTCTGCCCGCATACTGCAGACAAGAGATTGTAAGTGAGTGAAAGTGACTCAGTCATGTCCAATTCTTTGTGACCCCATGGACTATACAATCCATGGAACTCTCCAGGCCAGAATACTGGAGTGGGTAGCCTTTCCCTTTTCCAGGGGATCTTCCCAACCCAGGTCTCCCGCATTGCGGGCGACTTCTTTTCCAGCTGAGCCACAAGGGAAGCCCTCAGTAACTAAGAGATTGTAAAGATATGTTTAGTTTGGGGAGCCTGTAACAGTACAAAAATAAGAATCTAAAAGTGTAAAACCGTCATGGAAACAACAGGAATAAGCGCTTTCTCTGTGGCCAGGATTCGGGCAGTTTCCTTAAGGACCAATGGAACCAGACGCCCTGGACAGGAGGCCCTTNGAACCAGATGATGCCCTGGACAGGCGGCCGTTGGTTACCGCCCGTCTTCCCATTGGCCTTCCGGAACGTTCCGCATGTTGCTCCCTCCACCCAGCAGGCCGGCTCCCCTCCAGGCCCCCTCATCTGGGCTCTGCTCCCCAAGTCGGGGCAGGGGCCCAGGCCGCTCCCAGCACCCTGCTCTCTCTCTCCCTCCCCAGGCAGCGGCCTGACATCTGGGGTGTGCTCTGAGGCTAGAGAGGTACGCCTGGCCTGAAGTGCCCTGGAGCTGTGGTCTGATCTGGGAACTGAGTAACCGCTGCTCTGCTCTGTTCTCCTTAGAGGGTGAGAAGACCATCTGACTTCAGAACCGAAACTCGGCCTGGGAGGGAAAAGAGGAAGCAGCGATTGACAGAGACGTTGTCTTCTGTTCCAGGAGGCAAAGACGCAGAGGCTTTCAGAAGGGGTGAAGTCAAGTTCACAGACTGGATTCAATCCGTTGAACAGAGGTTTTCAAGCATGTGTTTTCAGCCTCCGTTTCACATCCCTGTGGTGACCTGCTCTTTCATTTTTGATGTGGTTGACGGCCCTGTAGGTGTCAGAACCACTTTCAGCCCCGACCTTGAAGAATGTACCATCCCTGGGGCAGTTCCCAGCAGTGGGAACAGGAGCCCATGAATACACTCCCAAGGGTCGCTGCCTCCGGAGGGAAGACCCTGCAGGGCGTCCTCTACACCCTCCGAGGTCCTGGTGGAGTCCCGAGCCATCACCGCCTGCACGGACCTCAGGAGTGCTTCTCTGCCAGGAATTCCTTTCCTTCACACTCTCCCTGCCCCACTCCCGCCTTCTTGCTTCCCAGGCAAACTACCTACACTTCCATCCTTGTCTTAGGCCGTGCTTCCAGGGTAACTCACAGTAACTCGGGGACTGGAAAATGCCATGCGGTGTTTCCGGTTTGTTTTTTCCAATGACATCATCTCTTCTCTGACTGCTCGAGACCACTCTCCTTAACCACTCCATGACTGCTTGGACTTGCCCATTTGTTCATCCATTCACCATTCAGGAATCTTATCCCTGCTCACTAAAGAAATATTTAAGCATGTCAACCCGTGACCATCCCAGGAAGTGAAGCGATAGAATTGAGCAAAACACATGTATTCTCTGCCCTCAAGGAAGGTCTGGTGTCAGAGAAAAACTAAATGAACAAAACAATTACACCGGTAAGTGTTTCTAGAGAGATCTGTCATAACAGGCTCAACCTAAGTCTGGATGAAGCAGGCATAGTATTAACTCATCATAGATAGAAACATGATATGTGGATAAACATGTTAATTGATTGATAAGTAGCTAGATGATACATAGATACTTAGAAATACAGATAGTTACATAGATTGATACATAGACACATAGGTAAATAGCTACACAGATACATACATATGTATGTAGGTAAATACATAGATACATGGTTACATAGATACATAGACAATTGCATAAACAACCAGACCACAATGTATCATATCAGTGGAGAAACTTCCCTGCACCGCTTCTGGTCCTAACAGGCTGACAATACTCAAAGTGCTCATTTCCTCGCTCATACACTTAGATTTCCCAGCACAAAAGGAGAAAGAAAACTCTCCTGTCAACATCACATTGTTCCATCAGGAGGCGCAGAGACAGGCTCTCGGTCCAGCCTCCCTCGCGCCCTCCAGGGTAGGCTGCACACCTCCACTGTGAAGCTTGGTCTCTGCCAGCCCCCCACCCCACCCCACCCCCGTATCCTGTGACCCTGAGCTGCTCTCTCCACACTCACCCCTGCCCCCCAGCTGGCTCAGATCGGTTCTAAACCGAAAGCCTTCCGTCTTCAGGCATGGGTGCTCTAAGGAAACAATTATGTTTGTCTAACATGGGCGGGCGGGGCTTCTTGGACCGGCGGATGTGCAGAGAGCCAGAGGGGTCTGGGACGGTGGCTGGATTCTTGCCTGCACCCCACGAGGCTCACAGGACACGGGCCCTATGACGAGGCAGGGGTGGTCCTGCGCCCCCGCCCCCTGAGTCCTACCATCATGACACCCAGGGGAGGGGCCAGCCTTGTGAGGAGGAGACTGGGGAGGGGGGTCCGATGTGGAGGGAGGGAGAGACCTGGGGTTTCTCAGAGTCACAGCCCCAGAGAGCGGCTGGTTGAGCCCAGGGCACCAAAGACAGGCTCACAGGCAGAGCTGGGTGTTCAGGAAGGGACCTCCTCGGGATGCTGGGGTCAGCAAGGCAAGGTCTGATAGAGATGGAGGGCAGTGATGTCCTGTCCGAGGGCTCAGTCTGTCCAAGCGCTCAGACCTGTGGTTGGTCCCAAGGCTTGCTGCATTCAGGCCCAAGGGGCCCCCAGCCCCAGTGGTTGCTTCTGTTCAAGGAGAAGACAGCCAAGTTGTTGGTGTCTGAAATCCTTGCCGGCATCAAGGTCCTCATGCCTTAGGAGTCTTGACCCAAAACCCCACATCTGCCCAGACACCACCCCCCTCCCCGCCACGTGTCCCCAGCCCAGCTGACCAGCTCCTCCAAGAATCAGAAAGGGCAGAGCCCCAAGGTCTGCACCGTGAGGGAACCCAGGAAAGGGGTGCGTGGCTGCCACAGAGGGCCCCCAGTGGGCTGCAGGAAGCCAGGCTCTGTGGTCAGTCACTCTCCTCTGAAAAGCACTTCCCTTTCTGCATGAAAACAGCCATCCTCATCAGTTCCTTCCCCAAATCAGGATGAGATCGGCCACACACTCTGTGTTGAAACTCACCCCTGTGCAGACACTCAGGCAAGGCAACCCTGCCCGCCGTTTACTGCCAACCAGACCCATCATTCATTTTTAGACCATGTCGCCCCAGGTAGGAAAGTCAGCGGGAGAGGGGGCGAGAGGCGTTATTGGCAGAGGGCAGGGCCCCGTGGCACCTGCCACAAACCTATGAGTGTTGTCGTGGATGGATTTTTAAGTGAAAAAGCAATAAACATGGTCTCTCAATTATTTTTCTTGTTGGAAAAGAAAACAATGATACAGACGTTCAAAAAAATGGGATGCATGCATGCTAAGTCGCTTTAGTCATGTCCGACTCTTTGCGGCCCCATGGACTGTAACCTGTCAGGCTCCTCTGGTGGGATTCTCCAGGGATTCTCCTTCATGGGATTCTCCAGGCAAGAATACTGGGGTGGGTGGCCATTTCCTTCTCCAGGGGATCTTCCGGACCCAGGGACTGAACCCGCATCTCTTATATCTCCTGCATTGGTAGGCAAGTTCTTACCACTAGTGCCACCTGGGCGGGCAAAAAAGGAGGGGGGGATAAATAATAACAAGAGTTTGCATTTGTCTAGCTCTTTCTTGCCCCCTTTTTTGGCTGAATGTTGTTACCTTTACTCTGTGGTCTGGTTCGGATTCAGACTCAGGAAGCGACCCAACCTCACTCTCACCCACATTCTGCCCCAGACCTCTTGAGTAGGTTCTGTTCTCACCAGCTCTGACAGTTCAGCAACGTGGTTGCTTATTCAACAAGCCCTGTTAGAAACTGTGATTTTGTTGTTGTTCAACCGCTAAGTCATGTGCGACTCTTTTCAACCCCATGGACTGTAGCTTGCCAGGCTCCTCTGTCCATGGGATTCTCCAGGCAAGAATGCTGGGGTGGGTTGCCATTTCCTTCTCCAGGGGGTCGTCCCAACCCAGGGATCGAACCTGTGTCTCCTGCATTGGCAGGCGGATTGTTTACTATCTGAGCCACCGGGGGAGCCCTGATGATATCACACCTATTATTCAAACTGGGTGTCTTTTCATTGAGTCATTCAGATTTTGAATAATTTGATTCTAAACTAGCCATTAATCACTAACTCTAAAATTATTTTTTAATTGAAGTATAGGTGACTCACAATGTCATGTTAGCTGCAGGTGTCACAAAGTATACACCTGAAAAGTGACTCAGACATGTATCTTTTTCAGGCTCTCCTCCATTATACATTATTACCAGATATTGAATATAGTTCCCTGTGGTCTACAGTAGGTCCTTGTTGGCTATCTCTTTTTTTTTGTAATTTTATTTCTTTTTGGCTGCACTGGGTCTTCATTGCGGTGTGGGCTTTCTCTAGTTGTGGTGAGCAGGGGCGCACAGGCTTAGTTGCCTCGCGGCACGTGGCATCTTCCCAGACCAGGGATGGAACCCGTGTCCCCTGCACTGGCAGGTGGATTCTTAACCCTTGGAACCCCAGGGAAGCCCCAGATATCTATTTTAAATAGTAGTGTGTGTGTGTTAATCCCAGTCTCCTATTTTACCCCCTCCCCTGATCACTAGTTCTTTATCAGGAGGCTCCAGGTTTCGATAAGAGGTTCTGCCAGTGAGTGCTTGGCACCATTAGAACAAAACACAAACCCCTCTGGAAAGTAATTTTTATACAATTTTCTATGACTCTTGACTCCTTTTTATAATTCAGAGAAATCATTCACTTTGACTATTTTATCTTTTTATCATATTATGAATCAACATAGCACCTTTTTGGAATCAATGGTTTCCCACTGATACGACTCTGCTGTGTATAACCAAAGCACCGTTAGAAGCCTTATCGGGTATATGGCCTTCCTCAGTAAATTAAAATGTGGAGACGATAGATAGTACTGCATATAAATGAATGTACCATCATTGGCATGCATTAGTTTTGGGTGAGTGTGCATATGTGTGCAAGCCCATGTGCATGTGTACGCATGTATTTGTGTGCATGGGTGTGTACACATGTGTGCATGTATGTGTAGATTATTAGCAGTGAAGTTCAGCAGAAGAAATAAAATGACTTTTTAAAAATTAAATTTATACATTTTTAGTTGAAGGATAATTGCTTTACAGTACTGCATTGGTTTCTGCCAAACATCAACACGAATCAGAGAAATGGCGCTTTTTTTTAATATTTATTTATCTGGTTGCGCCAGGTCACGAGGGATCTTCGATCCTCTTTGGGACACTTGGGATTTTTGGTCTTCTTGCAGCTTGCGGAATCTTTGACTGTCCCACGTGAACTCTTAGTTGCGCCATGTAGGATTCAGCTCCCAACCGGGGTGGAACGTGGACACCCGCATCGGGAGTGCTGAGTCCTACCCGCCGGAACGTCTTTACTTGCCTGTCATTGAGCTGGTCCCCAGAGCAGCCCCCTCTTAGTGGCAGGACACACACATACACACACACACACACACACACACCGCCGGAGTTTGATACTTAGCCCCTGCCACCCAGTATAAACACACCCCGTGGCATTTATTTCTCCCCTGTGTTTCCCTGTCCACGCTCCACCAGGACGGTACCCAGGGGACAGGGAGCAGTCGTTAGCACTGCGGGGAAGACTCCGGGCCCCCGCAGGCGCTGGGTCCGAGCTGACTGGCCGCGCGGGCCTCGCTCACAGGCTGCTGGAGGCTTACGTCTGCGGGCAGCGGTCGAAGGAGTCCCACCTCGCTCTGCTCCCTGGGGGACCGGGGACCCTTCAGGTCATCGCGGTGAGCTCAGCGTCTGCGCATCTGTCCCTGCCCCCTCGCACCCGGGCGACGTCTCTCCTCCCACCACGACGGGGCGCACTCTGACCCCCGACACTCAAGTGAACACACCGGAGCCGGGAGGGTCGGAGCGCAAGGTGGAGCCTCGCTGCCAGACCACGCAGCACTGCCCGGCTCGTCCTCCAGGTGGCGCCCGGGGGCCTCAGAGCAGGAGGGGCCGTCCCTCCCCGTGGGAACGTCCTTGCGCCCCAGCGCCCTGAGTCCATCCCCGGGCTCCGGAGGCTGCGCCCCAGCGCCCTGAGTCCACCCCCGGGCTCCGGAGGCCACAGGGTCGGGAAGAAGAGACTAGCCCTGACTTTCGGTTTCCGGCCCTTTCTCTGGGCCCGTCTTCTCTTCCCACCTGCTCCCCAGGTGGGAAGGGGTTTTCTTTTACCTTTGTCTTAATTTCTCCTAAACCTTGTCTGCTCCCTGCTGTGGGCTGGAATCATAAAAATCCTTCTCGGTGGGGCAGACAGCCATGAACCGGGCCGGGGCATAGAATATTCAGGAACCTCTCCGGGAATGCCAGCCCTCCACACTTCCCTCTGCTAAGCGCCCACCTATCCGCCTGTCTGCCTGGGGTCAGGGTCAGGCCAGCTTTTAGGGGAAATACACCATTCTAACTGTGGTCATTAATTTATGTGTCAACCTGCCTGGGCTAAGGAGCCTCCAGTGCTGGTAAAAACAGAATTTCTGGGCGTGTCTGCGAAGGAGACTCTGGAAGAGATGAGCTGAGAGAAGGGGTCCACCCTCACAATGTGGGTGGCTCCACCCCATCCCCTGTGGGCCCCACAGACCGAGCAGGGACAGGCGGTGCATTCCCGCCTGTTCTTGCGCTGGGACGCCCGGCAGCTCCGGCCCTCAGACTCAGACCCCTGGTTCCCGCCTCCCCAGCCCCGGGCCGGGGCTGACACCGCTGCCCTCCCGGTCTCGGCCTGCACACCCGCGCTGACGCCGTCACACACCCACGCTGACGCCGTCACACACCAACGCTGACGCCGTCACACACCCACGCTGACACCGTCACACACGCATGCTGACGCCATCACACACCCAACTGATGCCATCACACACCCGTGCTGACACCGTCACACACCCACGCTGACGCCGTCACACAGACACTGATGCCATCACACACCCATGCTGATGCCGTCACACACCCAACTGACACCGTCACACACCCAACTGATGCCGTCACACACCCACGCTGACGCCGTCACACACTCAACTGACGCCGTCACACACCCACGCTGACGCCGTCACACACTCAACTGACGCCGTCACACACCCACGCTGATGCCATCACGCACTCAACTGATGCCGTCACACACCCACGCTGACGCCGTCACAGATGCACGCTGACACCATCACACACCCACGCTGATGCCGTCACACATGCACACTGACGCCATCACACACCCGCACTGACATCGTCACACACCCACGCTGACGCCGTCACACACCCAACTGACGCCATCACACACCCAACTGACGCCGTCACACACCCAACTGACGCCGTCACACACGCACACTGACGCCGTCACACACGCACGCTGATGCCATCATGCACCCAACTGACGCCGTCACACACCCACACTGATGCCGTCACACACGCACACTGACGCTGTCACCCTCTCTCCTGGGTCTGCACCTCCAGAGGATGGTCCTGGGGCAGACTCTCCACCTCCTGAACCCCGAGAGTCTGTTCCCGTGATGGTCTCCTTTCACAAATCCCCATACAACCATGTGACGACCTGTCGGTCCTGGAGAGTCCTGAATAATACAGGAATGGTGGGAAAATAACAGAGAGGAGCAGAGAGGCAGAGAGAGAATGAAACAGCAACTGCGCACAAGAATGGAAGCGGAGGAACCAAAGATGAAGACTTCCGAGTTAAGATGCAGATCTTTGCAGGAACTAACCTCCAGTGCAAATAAGAAATGAAAGATCAGTACCAATAATGAATAGGGGGGTGGGCACCCTCCTCTGAGCCAGGACAGAAACCTCCCAGCTGTGGAGATACAGCCCGCCCTGAGGTCAGGGCAGGTCAGGTGTCCACGTGGGTCTGTGGCCCCGTCACTCAGAGCTGGCCGACCTTGGGCAAGTTACCTAATGTTTCAGTCCCTCGGTTCTTGCAGAAAAGTGGAGAAGAGAGTAGGACATTCTGTGGAGGGTTCTACCAGGGTTAAATGTGCCAATGTTTCCACAGAACTAAAATAGTCATGGTAGGAGCTGGCTGAGGAGCCTGGAGAATCCCGTGGACGGGGAGCCTGGTGGGCTGCTGTCCATAGGGTCGCACAGAGTCAGACATGACTGAAGCGACTTAGCAGCATCAGCAGGAGCTGACTGAATCTAGGATGAATTGTTAAAATATGCTTCAGATGTATAAGGACATTTTAAAATACCAGACCTGTAACAGGCATGCAGGTTTCTTGTCTGTGCTCATTCATGTCCGAGTCTGCGACCCTATGGATGGTATCCTCCAAGCTCCTCTGTCCGTGGAGTTTTCCAGGCAAAAATACCGGAGTGGGTTGCCATCCCCTCTTCCAGGGGATCTTTACGGCCCAGGGATCCAACGGGAGTCTCTTGAACTTGCTACATTGTTAGGCTGGATTATTTATGTTGCTATTAAAAATAATAAAAGACGCAAAAATTGCGAACTGAACTCTGCTGTCCCCTAGCGGGATTTGAGGGTAACGTTCCCACTTGCACTGAGCGGGAACCGCAGGTCTGACTGCACAATTAGCAGGACAGTGACCACGCGTGGGATCGGAGTTCTCCTGGTGGGGGGCTCCTGGTGACCCCACATTCTTGGCGGCACCGCTGGTCCGGCTCCGGGGCCGTGGTCATGCGAACCCCAAGGATTTCTTTATTCAGACAGCGTGGAGCGGCCTCGTTTAGAAGCCCTGTAACTTCAGCAGTGACGCGAAGTGACCAAGTGGGCAATTGTGGCTGGAACTGAATCTGTGGGAAGTGACGTTAGGAAAGAACGCAGAGCCCTGGGAGAGGAAGGAGGGGATCCGTTCCTGTAACACGTACGTGAGGTCCGTCCACGTGTCAGTGATGGCGGTGGGGATGTGGGTGTGGGTGGGGGTCAGGGAGAAAGGTATGAGATCGCCCAGGTGTGGATTTCAGAGAGCGCTGGGCGGGCTGACATCGTGCACGAGGAATGGAAGATGAAGCTCTGACTCAGGCAGAGACGGGGGTCTGCTTTCTGCACATCCAAGGCCGGGTCACCCCTTACCCATTCTCACGGTCAGAATGTGTGTTTCAGCTGTGTAATTATTACAGCCAATAGACCCCCAAAGTCTAAGACTTTGATAGGAATTAATTCCTCCCCTCAGTAAACAGGTGAAGCTGATTCCGGCTCAGCACGGTGGTGATTTAAAATACTGTGTTATTTTTAAAATGTGAGGGATTGCGAGGGAGCCATTAGGAGACGCCTGGCTGTTGAAAAGATATTTTGCAACTCACAGTTCCCAGGAGGAGGGGGCATGGGTGCCACCCACCAGGGTCACATGAGGAAGCTCCAGAGACAGAAAGGAGATGGAGTGAGAGGGGAATGTGGGCAAGAGTCTTTACTGTGGTTGCCACAAGAAGGAATGGACAAAAAAAAGGTAAGCAGCTTCTCTGCCCGGCGCCCACACCTCCCCCAGCTCCCCTCCCCCGACCCCCCTCCCAGGTCCCACGACCAGAGGCCCCGAGGGCAGCGCAAAGATGGTAAACTCAGATCTGCCTTTGATTAAGCTCAGGGATTTAGGGCGGGGCCCCCCTGGCGCTCAAATTCCCCAGGAGTAAGCAAGTCTTGGGTTTGGAGGAGACATCACTGCTAGCGCGTGTCCACCCCGCCCCCTGGAGAAGCAGCCTCCTGCCCCCGCAGTGCAGAGGCCATGCCCGGGACTTCGGGCTTGACCATTGCTGCCCCCGCGCTCCCAGCCCGAGCTTGGCTCAGAGGTCGGGGGCGGGGAGCACCCTGAGCTTGGACGGGAGGTCTGCCCACCTCGTCCCAGCCCCTTAGCTCCTGGTTCACTTCTGTGCTTTCCCCAGTCCCTCCTCCCACAGCTTCGGGTGCCAGCATCCACCGTCCTGGGCAAGACCAGGGGAGGGCGCAGTGTGGGCAACCCCTGTGGTCCTATCCCCTGAGAGAGGAAGGATGACTCAGCTCACCTTCCTTGGGGTCTTTCCTCCTTCCCAGCATCTGGGGTCCCTGGGCCGGGGCCCAGAGCTTTCAGTGAGCAGGCCCCTAGGCACTTGTGCGGCTGGGGTGGGGTCCCTGCATGGGACCCCCTGTGGGGCTGGTGGGCGTCGGAACTCCAGGATCTGGAAGCTCCGCTAAGCTCCAAGAGGAGCAGACACCTGGGCAAGTCACCTCCCTCCAAGGTCAGAGCCTCACTGCAGACACTGCTGAAGGGAGACAGAACCAGGGCCTCCAGGTGTGTAGGGCCAGGGAGGGAGGAGGAGAAGCGTTCCATCAAAGTGCCGGATGAGGAAGGTGAGCAGGCGTCCACTCAGACAGTGGGGTGGGGGGCGCCCTGAACCCAGTCTCACTGACAGGGAGGCGGTGGCGGGGGGGCAGGACAGACAGACAGACTGAGGACTCAGTACGGCTAGTTCTCATCCAAAGCACGTGTCAGGAGTCACTTCCCCTCAGAGGGCACAGGGTGTGCCCTTGACCCACATCCCTTCAAGGTTGCGCACAGTGTACGTCCACATCATAGAGAGTTTAACATACTCTGAAATCGTGTGCACATGTTTATGCACATATGTCGTTACAGAGCCAGCTGCAAACACGAGGCCAGAGAGGAAGGACACCTTTGCTCCTGGTGTTTAGCTGCTAAGCCATGTCCAACTCTTTGCGACCCCATGGACTGTAGCCCGCGAGGCTCCTCCGTCCATGGGATTTCTCAGGCAAGAATACTGGAGTGGGTTGCCATTTCCTCCTCCAGGGCATCCTCCCGACCCAGGAATCAAACCCATGTCTCCTGTATCGGCATCTTTGTCTTTACCACTGAGCCACCAGTGGATCCCAGGGAGATCAAGCCAGTCCATCCTAAAGGAAATCAACCCTGAATATTCAATAGGAGGACTGACACTGAAGCTGAGGCTCCAGTACTTTTCCACCTGATGCAAAGAGCCAACTCATTGGAAAAGACCCTGATGCTGGGAAAGATTGAAGTCAGGAGAAGGGGACAACAGAGGATGAGATGGTTGGATGGCATCACCGACTCCATGGACGAGAGTTTGAGTACGCTCCGGGAAGTAGTGGAGGACAGGGAAGGCTGGTGTGTGGCAGTCCATTGGGTCACAAAGAGTCTGACACAACTTAGCGACTGAACAACAACAACAATCTATGTAGGTATATGTATCTTTGCAAATACACACACACACACTTCCCCTTGACGCTATCTCTCACACTGTCGGTGTCTCTGGGTCTCCCCCCAGGAGACCACTTCCTTGAGCGTCCGCACCTCCTTCCAGGGTACAGAGCTGGGAGAAGGTGGTGGGGGCCCCGTGCTCAGAGAATCTCAGTCCCTGCCCCCTAAACCCGGGCCCACCACCCCAGCAGAGCCCCTTGGAGTGGATGCCCCAGGCTGAGGCCTGCACCTGCCCCCCCACCCCGAGGAGGGGGCCAGTGAGGGGGCGCTGAGGTCCCGGGCTCCTGCTAACAGGCAGAAGCAGCGCGGGGCCTGAGCTTCGACCTGTCCCACCCAGCTGGCCCCCCGCTCCACCTCTCAGGTTGAGGTGACGCCCTCTTGACTCCAAGGAAGGGGGGCAGGGGGACGTGGGGACAGAGGATAGGCATGCTCTCTGCTCCCACTGCTCTGAGGAGCTGTGCGGTCCCTGGGAACACCTTTCTCCCTTCACTGCAGTCGCGCCATGCAGCTCTAGTGTGAGGAATATGGGGGGGGCCGCCTCAGCTGCCACAGGGGCAGGGGGTCCTGAGGGCTGACCTCACCGAGAAGGACCACTGTGCACCCACATTTCCCCCAAGGGCTGTGCAGGGTCACGGGGTCTGGAGAAACCAGATACCTTCAGGCCTCAGTAGGGCCGTCCCAGACACACTCAGGCACCCCATCGCGTTTGTGGGGCAGCTGAGTCAGGAGAGAAGACATGGAGCTCTAAGGGAGGAATCTTCCCTCCTGCCCGCCTCTGTCCCGAGAGCGGTAAGGGTATCCCCTATGGTCCCCACTCCGTGTGCCCCTCTGATGCTGGGGCTCAGCGTCCAGGCCCCCGTGATGCCCGCTGAGACCAGGCTTGGGGAGCTGAGCCAGGCGTGGAGGCGGGGGACGCGTGGGCAGAGGGGACAGAGGCAGAGGGCTCAGGGGCAGGAGGTGGGCCGGTGGGCAGAGGGCGCAGCGGGGCCCCGGGCATACCTGTGGGCAGGGCAGAGACGGCCTCCACGGTCCCCTCCAGGCTCAGGGCCTCGCTGAACTCAGACCAGCCAGACTCTGTTTGATAGATGCAGCGATAACGCCCGACGGCGTCTTCATGCAGGGCGGTGATGGGGAATCTGGCCTCCGTCTCCTGTTCACCTCCGGACATGACAGCCACATCCCTGTAGTAGGATCTATTGTCCATCTCCAGGCGGAAGCTCCTAACCCCGGCAGGGCCCCTGCACACGATGCTCACTGGCCGCCCCCAGGGCACCACGGAGCCCGGCTCAGCTGAGATGGAGGGTCTGGGCAGGGTCCCTGGGAGGGGAGAGCAGGACCCCACAGTCTGTCCTGAAGAGACCAGCACACGACCGCAGTTCTCTCATCTTAGTGGAGAATCAGCACACGACACAACCCACTCACCTTAGTGGAGAATCACCACACGACACAACCCACTCACCTTAGTGGAGAATCACCACAAAATACAGTCCAATCATCTTAGTGGACAACACACTCATTTAGTGGAGAATCAGCACAGGACACAACCCACTCATCTTAGTGGAGAGTCAGCACAGGACAAAACTCACTCATCTTAGTGGAGAATCAGCACACGAAACAACTCACTCATCTTAGTGGAGAATGAGCACAGGACACAACCCACTCATCTTAGTGGAGAGTCAGCACAGGACACAACCCACTCACCTTAGTGGAGAATCAAGCACATGACACAACCCACTCACCTTAGTGGAGAATCAGCGCAGGACACAACCCACTCATCTTAGTGGAGAATCAGCACAAAATACAACCCACTCATCTTAGCGGAGAATCACCAGAAAATGCAGTCCACTCATCTTAGTGGAGAATCAGCCCAAAATACAATCCACTCATCTTAGTGGAGAATCAGCACAGGACACAACCCACTCATCTTAGTGGACAATCAGCACAGAGCACAACCCACTCATCTTAGTGGAGAATCACCACAAACACCATTCTGTCCTTTTAGTGGAGAATCACCACAGCATAATTCTCTCAGTGGAGATCACCACACGACACAATTTACTCTCTCGCTTCTTTTTCTTTTTGGAAACCTGCAAAGTTGTACAACCCTCACCACAATCCAGTTTCAGAATGCTCCCATCACCCCCGCAGTTGACAGCCCCACCCCCACACCCGCCCCAGGAGCAGGTGAATTCTCGTCACCGTGGTTAGTTTCCCATTGACGTAAGGACCCTGAGACTTGGTCACATCTCACTCAGGGTGACCTGGGAGGTGACAGAGCAGCTGGGGGCCTGGACATGTCTGCTGGGGGTGGGGGGCGGCTCCTTCCATGCCCACGGCCACTCCTGGGAGAGGGGGAGGGGACACAGGTGGGAATGACTGGGTCATTCCTGGGACGAGGAAAGCAGGATTCTGAGTGGATAGGAGTGACCTGGGCTGGGTCTGAAGGGAAGGGCAGCTGCCTCTCCTGGGAGAGATCGTGTGGGTGAGGGTCATGAATTGCAGACTGTGGAAGTGTAGGGGGTGTGTCTGTATGCATGTGTGTGTGTATATGTGTGGGTGTGTGCAGGGGTGTGTGCGTGGGTGTGTGCAGGGGTGTGTGCATATGTGTCTATGTGGGTGTGTGTATATGTGTGTGCACGTGTGTCTGTATACAGGTGTGCACATGTGTGTGTGTTTGGGTGTGTGTACGTGAGTGCGTATGTGGGTGTGTGTGGGCAGATGCATGTGTGTACGTGTGCGGCATGTATGTGTGTGTATATGCAGGTGCATGTGCGTGTGCAGATGCGCGTGGGTGTGTGTGTGTGCACGTGTATATGTGAGCGTGTGTCTGTATATGTGTGTCCAGGGGTGTGTGTGCGCACGTGTATATGTGGGTGTGTGGATGTGTGTTCACATGTGTACACATGTGTGCACAGGTGTATGCGCATGCATGTATGTGCGTGCGCATGTGTGTACACATGTGTGCACAGGTGTATGTGCATGCGTGTGTGTGCATGTGTGTGGAGTAGTTGGAGCACAGGTCTGGTCCCACATTCCCTGGCGGGTGAAGGTCAGTGTCCAGGGTGAGTCTGCAGAGACCATCCCTGGGTTTTCTCAGTATTCTCTGCCTCCATCCCAGTGTACTTCCGTGTCCTTGTCACTGAGGCTTCTGGAAACCCCACGTATCTCAACTGGGGGCGCGGTGGAGGGTGTGGTGGGGGCTTGCAGCCCTGAAGCAGGAAGTTGGCCTCAGAGTCAGCGAAGTCCCCACAGAGGCAGGGGCCGAGAGCTCACTCCTCACCCCTCACCCCCTTCCTCTTTCTTTCCACCACATCTAGTCTTGTCCATCATCCATCCGTTTACTGACACCTCCATGTGCCTCTGGTTCCACAAATACGGGAAACACCCCGGCGCCTGCCCCCTTGGGGCTGACAGTCCAGAGGGACGACAGACGTTCACAAACAATTGTGTGAACCCATGGGTACGGGGCGGTGATGCGTGCCCTCGGGGTGAGTGTGGCAATCTCGGGGAGGGGGGCAGACGGGAGGCCGAGCTGCCCCCCCAGGGGTCGAGGGAGGGGGTTCCTGAGCTGAGCAGACCTGGAGGACGGTCTGGGCTGAGGGGCAGGGCGGAGGGGTCACTGTGGGGAGGGCCGGGCTGGGCGGGGAGATTCAGAAAGTGAAAGAAAACCCAGAGAGCGGCCAGCCTCACGGGGGAGTGCAGGGGAGGCTGGAGGCGACGGCAGGCCGTCTGCCAGGGCAAGCGCTGTTCTCTGCAAGGGGCTGCGGGGGCGGTCTGGGCTTGCAGGGGGCGAGCTCGCGGGCTCAGCCTGTCCTGAGGGTCGGGTCATCCCTGCGGGGCCATCGAGGGCAGAGAGGAGACAGGGGAGACCCAGGCCAGGGTCCCGCACTGGGGCTGTTAGCAGCTCGGGGTATAAGCCAGGGCCCCCAGACCCGGGTCTGCTCCGCTCTCATCGAGGTCCGCCTTAGGGAGACGGGGGTTTGGGGGAGACTCACCCTGCTGGGTGCAGGCCATCTGGGCCAGACAGAGCGCTGGAAGAGAAGCGCTAGTGAGAAGACGCCCGCCTCGTGGTTTCCTCATGGGCTGCAGTTCCGGGGCCTCGAGGAGCCGTGGGGTGTGTGGGCGTCTTCCCATGATGTCCCAACGCCCCCCCCCCAACATTACATCTGAGTACAAGCCGTCTCCTCGCTCTGAAGTAATCTCAGACAACCCCAGCCCTCCTCCAGGCCAGCCCGGCTCAGTCTGCACTCACCCCACACCCGACCCCACGTCCAGGACTGAACCTTCCCCGTCACTTAGGTCTGGGCCAAAGCTGAGGCCTCCCCCAGGGATGGAGAGGGAACCGCGTTGCCCCCCAGGACCCTGGCGTCTCCTGGGCTGGAGTCAGGGCTGAGCGGAGCCCCTCTGCCCCTGGAATCCGGCCCCGGCACCCCCGGACTCACCCAGGCCCAGGAGGGTGGAGGGCCCGGGCGCCATGGCCCAGCCGTGTCCGGCGTGTCCCTGAGTCGGTGCCGAGGGACGGAGCCTGCAGCCCGCGGGAAAAGGGGAAGTGCCGCCGGCCCTTCTGGGGCCCTTTCCACAGCAGCAGCCTCACACGAAGGGGAAGGGCGCCCTCCCCGCCCGGCACACTTCCCACTAAGGGGCCGCAGCGCCCCTCAGCCGTTCCTCCGTCTGGGTTCCCTCGAGGTTCAGCTTCTCTGGGGTGCACCCCGAGGGGGGAGCCCCGCTCTCCACCCGTGAGCAGAGCACACTTTGTGCAGCGCGCCGACTGGACCGTCGGTCCCGACTCCGTTCTTGGGCAAAGAGTTACATCACTTTATGCCAACGGTTCCTTGTATTGAAATTGGAGAACCCGACATCCTCCTCTGAATGTTTAATATTGTGATATATGGTACATTCCCGGAGGGATCGAGTGCATTAAAAATATCTTATCACGTGGGTTCTCTGCCCATTTCCCAGGCGGTGCTGGGACCGGGGGAGGCGGGGCTGGCCCGTGAGCACACACAGAATCCCAGAGCTGAGTGATGGGGAGACAGACCTCGGGACCTGGCCCTGGGCTTGGCACCCGGTGGGGCCCCCAGCTGGGTGCTGAAATGAGAGCAGGGCCGGGGGATGGGAGGGCGTGCACGCACATGGAGCCCGCAGGACAGGAGCCCCGTCGTGGAATCCCCTGGACGGAATCCCTCCGTCCCGAGGCCAGGGAACAGCTGCTTCTCCTGGGATGAGCTCTGCCAGACGGCGATGGCAGTCTCCACAGCAGCCGGGGCTCAGTCTCCTATTAACAGAAACCTAGTTCTGTCTGAGGGTCTGTGCTCCAACCCTGGACTGGGGAAGGGGGCGTGGAGAGGATGCGGTTTGGGCTGAGAAAACCTGGCTGTCTGTTGGCGCCGAGTACAGTTTCTCACTGCCCACTGAAATGTCTTTATTTCCCTTCCAGTTTTGAAGGCTGTTTCCTCGTGTCCTAGAGTTCTAGGTTGGCAGTTAGCTTTTTCAGCACATTAAATATGGCATTAATCACTTCTGCTCAGATAAACTGTACCTCCTCTTGTTACTCCTTTGAAAATTATGTGTCTTTTCCCCTATGCTTTTAAGGTTTTGTCTTTGGATTTTTCAGCAGTTTTTCACTGATGTGTTCCTGTGTGTGTGAGTGTTGACTTTTATTGAAGTATAATACACAAAAAATTGCACATGTTGAATGCACAGCTTGGTTAATTTTCACAAATTGAGCACTCACGTTTTCCAGTAACTTCTCTTGAAAGGTAATGACTTTGCTGACTTCAACAGCACGGGTTAAATGTGCGTGTTATGATTCTTTATCTCAGTGTGAATATTCTCGGCAGCCTCTGTGTGTGTGTGTGTGGGGTGAGGGGCTTCCTCTGCCCAACTGAATATTTTAAGATTTGTCCAACACCCTGGGTGCTGTGGAGTATTTTATTGTGTGAATCACCACCACGCGTACATCCCCCCAGTGTAAAGAGGCATTTGCTTAGCTTCCAATTTATGTTAGGATGGAAAGTGTTGCTTTGAATGTGTTAATTCATGTTCAGTGGGGAGCGTATATGTGCGTTTCTGTTGGAATAANTAATTCATGTTCAGTGGGGAGCGTATATGTGCGTTTCTGTTGGAATAAACCTCGGAATGTAATTGCCGTGTGTTGTGCTGTGCATTTATTCAGTTCTAGTAGGCACTTCTGAATATGTTTCGCAGTGATAGCATCAGTTCACACTGAGCATTCTGGTTACCCCACATCCTCACCCGCCCCTCCGCTTTCCCACCTTTTTATTTTTGCCTTGCTGTGAGGGGCAGTGGTACCTTTGTGGTTTTACTTTGCATGTCTGTGGTAACTAATGAACTTGTGAAACTTTCCATCTGTCCTTGGCCATTTGGACATTAATTTTATTTTTGCGAAATGTCTATTTGAATCATTTTCTCATTTAAAAATTTGGTTAACTAACTTTATTATTATTATTATTTTTACTAAATAACGGGATGCTTTCTCTTTCTTATTAGGCATGTGACTTTTTGTCAGATGTGTTTATTGTGGATATTCCTATCTAGTGGAGGTTCACTTTTTTTTTGGCCACATGGTGTGTGGGGATCTTAGTTCCAGAGAGCCAGAAACTCTGCCCCCTGAAGTGGAAGCACAGAGTTGTAACCACTGGACAAGCAGGGAAGTCTCCTCATTTATCTTATTGAAATATATCTGATGTGCAGTGTTCTGTTAGTTTCAGGTCCACCTCATAAGGATTCTGTATTTGCATATGTTCTGAAATGAGGACCACAGTAAGTCTGGTAACCATGCATCCCCACACAGATTTATTACAGCATCACTGACTGTATTCCTCACGCTGCAGTTATATGCTCGAGACTTATCTGTAACTGCATGCTTGTCCTCTGCAGTGCTTTGCCCTCCAGGCCCCCTTCCTTCCTGCAGCCACCCATTCACTCTGTTTCTTTGGGTCTCTCTCAGACTCTTTTCTTTGTTTTGTATTTTAGATTCCATGTATGAGATCACACAGGAATTTGTTTTTCTGTATCTGACTTGTTTCACTTAGCACAATGCCCTCTAGGTCCACAAATGTTGTTACAAATGCCGAGATTTATACATATATACACACATATGTATAAAACATTATTACTCAGTCATAGAAATAAGTGAAAGAGCCTGTCTGTGCTCCTCCTGGTGGAATAACATGAAGTTGACAGGAGAGTTTGTGCTTAGTCACTCAGTCGTGTGTGACTGTTTGCGACCCCATGCACTATACAGTCCATGGAATTCTCCAGGCCAGAATACTGGAGCGGGCAGCTGTTCCCTTCTCCAGGGGATCTTCCCAATCCTGGGATCAAACCAGGTCTCCCACATTCCAGGCTGATTCTTTACCAGCTGAGCCACCAGAGAAACCCCAGTTATAAAAAACAAGAACAATATAGGTATAAAGGATTATTAATCACAGAAAAGGAGTGCAAGAGATTCAGACATACACTACATCTGCTTTGTCCATTCATCTGCTGAATGCTCAATTAGCTGTTTTCATATCTGGACTATTGTAAATAATGATGCATTGAGCATCACCATGCATATATCCTTGTGAATTAGTGTTTTTGTTTTCTTTGGGTCAACACCAGAATGGACCTTGACTGGATCACGTGGCAGCCTTATTTTGAATGTTTTGAGGCACCTCTGTGCTGTTTTCCACAGTGGCTGCCCCAGTTTACATTCCCCAACAGTGCACATTTTTGCGCACCACCACAGTGATTTGTGCTGAAGTATGTTTTTGTGACACTACCATACTGATCCAATCACTGTAACTTTGTAGTATAGTTTGAAATCAGAGTGTATAATCCCCCCAGTGTTATTCGTCTTTCTCTCTCTCTCTCTCTTTTTTTTTTTTTTGCCATTAGGGGGTCTTTTGTATTTCCATAGAAATATTAGAATTGTTCATCTCATTAGTGAAAAATCCCATTGGTATTTCAATAGGGATTGAATTGAATCTGCAAATTGCCTTGGGTAATATAGTCATCTCAACAATATTAATTTTCAAATCCATGAGCATAGAATATTCAGGAACCTCTCCGGGAACGCCAGCCCTCCACACTTCCCTCTGCTAAGCGCCCACCTATCCGCCTGTCTGCCTGGGGTCAGGGTCAGGCCAGCTTTTGGGGGAAATACACCATTCTAACTGTGGTCATTAATTTATGTGTCAACCTGCCTGGGCTAAGGAGCCTCCAGTGCTGGTAAAAACAAAATTTCTGGGCGTGTCTGCGAAGGAGACTCTGGAAGAGATGAGCTGAGAGAAGGGGTCCACCCTCACAATGTGGGCGGCTCCACCCCATCCCCCGGGGGCCCACAGACCAAGCAGGGACAGGCGGTGCATTCCCGCCTGTTCTTGCGCTGGGACGCCCGGCAGCTCCGGCCCTCAGACTCAGACCCCTGGTTCCCGCCTCCCCAGCCCCGGGCCGGGGCTGACACCGCTGCCCTCCGGGTCTCGGCCTGCACACCCGCGCTGACGCCGTCACACACCCACGCTGACGCCGTCACACACCAACGCTGACGCCGTCACACACCCACGCTGACACCATCACACACCCACGCTGACGCCGTCACACACCCAACTGACGCCGCCACACAGACACTGATGCCATCACACACCCAACTGACACCGTCACACACCCGCGCTGACGCCGTCACACATCCACACTGATGCCGTCACAAACCCGCGCTGACGCCGCCACACAGACACTGATGCCATCACACACCCAACTGACACCGTCACACACCCACGCTGACGCCATCACACACCCAACTGACACCGTCACACACCCACGCTGATGCTGTCACACACCCACGCTGATGCCATCACACACCCGCACTGACACCGTCACACAGCCACGCTGACGCCGTCACACACCCACGCTGATGCCGTCACACACCCAACTGACGCCGTCACACACCCAACTGACGCCATCACACACTCACGCTGATGCCGTCACACACTCAACTGACGCCGTCACACACCCACGCTGACGCCATCACACACGCACGCTGATGCCATCATGCACCCAACTGACGCCGTCACACACCCACGCTGATGCCGTCACACACGCACACTGACGCTGTCACCCTCTCTCCTGGGTCTGCACCTCCAGAGGATGGTCCTGGGGCAGACTCTCCACCTCCTGAACCCCGAGAGTCTGTTCCCGTGATGGTCTCCTTTCACAAATCCCCATACAACCATGTGACGACCTGTCGGTCCTGGAGAGTCCTGAATAATACAGGAATGGTGGGAAAATAACAGAGAGGAGCAGAGAGGCAGAGAGAGAATGAAACAGCAACTGCGCACAAGAATGGAAGCGGAGGAACCAAAGATGAAGACTTCCGAGTTAAGATGCAGATCTTTGCAGGAACTAACCTCCAGTGCAAATAAGAAATGAAAGATCAGTACCAATAATGAATAGGGGGGTGGGCACCCTCCTCTGAGCCAGGACAGAAACCTCCCAGCTGTGGAGATACAGCCCGCCCTGAGGTCAGGGCAGGTCAGGTGTCCACGTGGGTCTGTGGCCCCGTCACTCAGAGCTGGCCGACCTTGGGCAAGTTATCTAATGTTTCAGTCCCTCGGTTCTTGCAGAAAAGTGGAGAAGAGAGTAGGACATTCTGTGGAGGGTTCTACCAGGGTTAAATGTGCCAATGTTTCCACAGAACTAAAATAGTCATGGTAGGAGCTGGCTGAGGAGCCTGGAGAATCCCGTGGACAGGGAGCCTGGTGGGCTGCTGTCCATAGGGTCGCACAGAGTCAGACATGACTGAAGCGACTTAGCAGCATCAGCAGGAGCTGACTGAATCTAGGATGAATTGTTAAAATATGCTTCAGATGTATAAGGACATTTTAAAATACCAGACCTGTAACAGGCATGCAGGTTTCTTGTCTGTGCTCATTCATGTCCGAGTCTGCGACCCTATGGATGGTATCCTCCAAGCTCCTCTGTCCGTGGAGTTTTCCAGGCAAAAATACCGGAGTGGGTTGCCATCCCCTCTTCCAGGGGGTCTTTACGGCCCAGGGATCCAACGGGAGTCTCTTGAACTTGCTACATTGTTAGGCTGGATTATTTATGTTGCTATTAAAAATAATAAAAGACGCAAAAATTGCGAACTGAACTCTGCTGTCCCCTAGCGGGATTTGAGGGTAACGTTCCCACTTGCACTGAGCGGGAACCGCAGGTCTGACTGCACAATTAGCAGGACAGTGACCACGCGTGGGATCGGAGTTCTCCTGGTGGGGGGCTCCTGGTGACCCCACATTCTTGGCGGCACCGCTGGTCCGGCTCCGGGGCCGTGGTCATGCGAACCCCAAGGATTTCTTTATTCAGACAGCGTGGAGCGGCCTCGTTTAGAAGCCCTGTAACTTCAGCAGTGACGCGAAGTGACCAAGTGGGCAATTGTGGCTGGAACTGAATCTGTGGGAAGTGACGTTAGGAAAGAACGCAGAGCCCTGGGAGAGGAAGGAGGGGATCCGTTCCTGTAACACGTACGTGAGGTCCGTCCACGTGTCAGTGATGGCGGTGGGGATGTGGGTGTGGGTGGGGGTCAGGGAGAAAGGTATGAGATCGCCCAGGTGTGGATTTCAGAGAGCGCTGGGCGGGCTGACATCGTGCACGAGGAATGGAAGATGAAGCTCTGACTCAGGCAGAGACGGGGGTCTGCTTTCTGCACATCCAAGGCCGGGTCACCCCTTACCCATTCTCACGGTCAGAATGTGTGTTTCAGCTGTGTAATTATTACAGCCAATAGACCCCCAAAGTCTAAGACTTTGATAGGAATTAATTCCTCCCCTCAGTAAACAGGTGAAGCTGATTCCGGCTCAGCACGGTGGTGATTTAAAATACTGTGTTATTTTTAAAATGTGAGGGATTGCGAGGGAGCCATTAGGAGACGCCTGGCTGTTGAAAAGATATTTTGCAACTCACAGTTCCCAGGAGGAGGGGGCATGGGTGCCACCCACCAGGGTCACATGAGGAAGCTCCAGAGACAGAAAGGAGATGGAGTGAGAGGGGAATGTGGGCAAGAGTCTTTACTGTGGTTGCCACAAGAAGGAATGGACAAAAAAAAGGTAAGCAGCTTCAGATTGGCTGGTTTAATGATTTCAGCGGGTTGTGGGGTGGAGGAGGTGTCCCTCGTTGGCCTGTACCTGGCTCCGGAGTGTCAAGGGCAGGTGGATAGTGGCCCAGACTGTGGAGGCCCGTAAAAGAGGTTATGGGGGTGTGGACTCTGGATTGACTGGTTTGTGGTTGATAATTGCTTGGCTGGGTGGTAAAGAATCCCTCTGCCAATGCAGGAGACTCGGGTTCAATTCTCGGGCTGGCAAAGCCCCGTGGAGAAGGCAATGTCAAACCACTCCAGTATTCCTGCCTGGGAAATCCCATGGACAGAGGAACCTGGTGGGCTACAGCCCATGGAGCTGCAAAAGAGTCTAACACGACTTTGCAACTAAAAGACAACAGTTTGATAATAGCACCAGGAAGAGGATTCCTGCTAAGAAGCGGCTAGGGAAGTAGGGGGCTGGGGAGGAAGAGGGAGGCAGGAGGCCAGAGCAAGTGACTCAGACATATTATTGGCTCATCCAGGAATAGGTGTGTCCAGTTTGAACCCTAAAATTAAAAGTCCAGTTATTTTGCAGGCAAAATGAATTTATTTAGGAACGGCTGAGGAATTGCAATTCAGGACATTCAAACTGTGGCAAACCAGCGTCAAGTCCAGAGAGCAAAGGAGAGGAATGTTACTTTATACAGAAAAAATGAGGATGCTTGAAGGGATCTGTTAGAGAAAAGCAAGCTATGCAGGTAAGATGATTTCTCATTGGCTGGAATGTAGCTGTTTCTCATGAATGGACTGTGGCTGTTGCTGATTGGCTAAAATTTCAGTGATTCTGATTGGCTCATCTGTGGCTGTTTCTGATTGGCTGGTCTGTGGCTGTATCTCACTGGCTGGACTGTGGCTGTTTCTCATTGGCTAAAATTTTGCTGCTTCTGATTGGTTCATCTGTGGCTGCTTCTGATTGGCTGGGCTGTGGCTGTTTCTCATTGGCTAAAATTTTACTGTTTCTGACTGGTTCATCTGTGGCTGTTTCTGATTGGCTGGTCTGTGGCTGT